AAATCATCCTTTAATGTATTTAATTCACTTTGAAATTTACTAACCTTTTCCATTTGTGTGTGTTGGCTTTCTCTCAACTGTTGGAGACTTTCTTTTTGTTCACTTTCTTTCTCCTCCAACCACTGCTGTAGTCTCTCTTGTTTATTTTGCTGTTTGAGCTGCCACTGTTGCAGGTTTCTTGCCACTGCTGTTGTCTCTCTTCTTGTTTCTTTTCTCGTTCTTCTTGGTTTTTCATTTTCCTCCACCAACTGCTGTAATTTCTCTTCTTGTTTCTTTTCTTTTTCCTCCAACAGCTGCTGTAATCTCTCTTCTTGTTTCTTTTCTTTTTCCTTCAACAACTGCTGTAATCTCTCATCTTGTTTCTTTTCTCGTTCTTCCAACAACTGCTGTAATCTCTCTTCTCGTTTCTTTTCTCGTTTATTTTCTCATTCTTCTTGTTTCTTTTGCTGTTCTTGTATTGCTGCCATCAAATCTGCTAAGCTGTAGTTTGATTTGCCACTTCTCATTTCCATCTTCTCTTTTTTTTTTCATCCCACTTCTGACACCAGTTTGTTATGTCTCTAGTCATTTGTTAATTTCCCATAAAAATTAACTTCAACTGAAGAACTTCAGCGATACAAGTCCTTTCTTAAATAAAACTAGTTTATTCATTCTCAATACAACTTTGCAATACACAGAATTTCCACAGTCACTTTAACTTAAACACACGCTATAATGCACAACGGTCACGCATTTTACTTACGGTCACTACCACTCACTTGATTCATTTATCTGTCTCTATATCTGTCTATCTGCCAAACTATGCCATCACTTCTTCTTTCTGCTTTATTTGCCGGGCTTAAAAAAAATAAAAAATAGAGGCCGCGTAGAAAAGACTAGAGTTGCCAGGAAGAGTCATGATCCTTCTAGAAACTCATGATGTGCTACCAGTGTCACGTGACTACCACTGTCGTAACAATAGTAAGAGGTATAGTAAAATTGTCTGTAGGCTGTTGCTTTGTAATATTTATGTATTTCTAATAAGTAGGCTGTTTATATTTGAAAAAGGATGTGTTACTTTATTCTAACTTTAAGAAAACTTGTGTTTCAGTTATGTCTCTCATTAATCTAGCTCTTAACAGACTTGTGTTCCAGCTATGTCTCACATTATTCTAGCTGTAACAGATTTGTGTTCCAGTTATGTTTTAGGTTATCTTAGCTGTAACAGACATGTGTACCAGTTATGTTTCACAATAATCTAGTGCTAACAGATTTGTGTTCCAGCTATATTTCAGGTTATTTTAGCTCTAACAGACTTGTGTTCCAGCTATGTTTCACATTAATCTAGTTCTAACAGACTTGTGTTCCAGCTATGTTTCACATTAATCTAGTTCTAACAGATTTGTGTTCCAGCTATATTTCAGGTTATTTTAGGTCTAACAGACTTGTGTTCCAGCTATGTTTCACATTAATCTAGTTCTAACAGACTTGTGTTCCAGCTATGTTTCACATTAATCTAGTTCTAACAGATTTGTGTTCCAGCTATAGTTCAGGTTATTTTAGCTCTAACAGACTTGTATTTCAGCAATGTTTTACAATATTTTGGGTTTAACAAACTTGTATCCCAGCTATATCTTACTTTAACCCTATTGCCACGGGTATCCTTTACTACGCATGACACCAGGTTTTAGTGTCTTACATTCAAAACTTTATTAAACTACTTTTTGTTTATGTTATACTAATTAGAATATCATAAAATCGTAGCTAATAATCCATATTTTAATAGTATATAAGTTTTAAGTTCTTAATTCTACAAGGCAATATTTAAAAAAACCCTGAATTTCCCAGAGTGTGATACAAATGACACATTTTATCTAGGCTTCTTGTCTCCTCTTTTTTATCCACCATCCCCTTGGAAAAGTATGAAATTAAACATA